ACCACACCACACCACACCACACCACACCACACCACACCACACCACACCACACCACACCACACCACACCACACCACACCACACCACACTACGACACATCACACCACACAACACTACACCGCACCACGTCGCACTACACCACACGGTGATCACTGTTTGCGAGCGGCATCGGCAGACGTGCGAGTTCTGTATATATACGTACTCCTGCCATCACACTCCAGCAGGCACAGGTTGTTGTAGGTGCGACCGTTGGAACCACACACGGGACGATACAGCCGCCCGCACGCGCAGTCCTCTCTGCACTCTCCCCGGTGAACCACCCTCAAGTCGTCTTCGCCTGATATGCAATGGATCAACGCTTATTTAAATTTAATTGTTTTAAATTTTATACTAGCGTCATCGGACGTCCACGAGTAGCAGCTCATCCGGCCAAAACACGAGGAATTCAGCTCTTGCTAGCCTCACTCTACCTACGATTCATAACGAGTAACTTAAACATTAGCTTATAAGAGACCTTACGCATTCACCTAGCACTGTGCCTTACAATTGTAGACACATTACATATCCGTTAAGCAAATCTAGATCCTGAGGGATTGGTTTAAATGTATGTCAATCAAATCCCCGTGAACTGCTGTTATCATTCAGAAACGTTGAGTTACGGAGATGACACACAAAGATCGCATCGCGTCGCCTCATTCCGTATTCAGTCGTATTCTCGTTATCGGCACGCGCAGGGCAGGATTTAGACATGGTAAGGCCCTAAGCTATGGGAAGCTGTAGATGCTCTAAGCTATGGGAAGCTGTAGATACCCTAAGCTATGGGAAGCTGTAGAGGCTCTAAGCTATGGGAAGCTGTAGAGGCTCTAAGCTATGGGAAGCTGTAGAGGCTCTAAGCTATTGGAAGCTGTAGAGGCTCTAAGCTATGGGAAGCTGTAGAGGCTCTAAGTCTAAGCTATGGGAAGCTGTAGAGGCTCTAAGCTATGGAAAGCTGTAGAGGCTCTAAGCTATGGGAAGCTGTAGAGGCTCTAAGCTATGGGAAGCTGTAGAGGCTCCAAGCTATGGAAAGCTGTAGAGACCCTATTTGGCAATTGTTAACAGAGAATACGGCTGTGTAGCAACTGAACTGTAACAACGATTACCGCCAAGATGCATAACAAATCCGTGCGGAGTGAGGTCGGAAGGGTTTCTTATTTAGAACTTTAAATATATGCCTTTTATTATTCAATTTAATGAGATTTGATGAGATTTTTAGATGCCCTTTTAGACTGTGAGGCCCTAAGCTGTAGCTTGATTAGCTTATGCCTAAATCCGGCTCTGAGCAGGTGTGTCGTACCGAGTGTCGTCTTCGTGCATTGCAGCTGGCATGCGTTCAGGTACGTCTCTCCGTCTGAGCCGCACACTTTTCTGATGTGCCTCGGGCAGTTACAGTTGGGAGGTACCGCTGTCGTGGCCCCGCATGGACCATCATGAGCCACCGTTATACCGTAATTTCCTGCAAAAATGGTAAGCAATCCTTTGTTAGGACTCGGGTGCCACTCCCTGCTTTTCCCCACGTTGGATCAGGTATTCCGAAAGTGTGTTACGGTAGGACGTGGCGCCGGGGCGTATGCGGTATATCCTTTCTTACGTATAAAGTAGCTCTAACTTATATATACCCCTGGGATTGCTAACACAGGCAGCGTGTTTAAGTCTGTCAGGACGCCTCTTAAATCAACTATACAGCCAAGGGTTTACCCCCTGCTTTCTTACCCGTTAAGCGGTTAAAAGTAACAGAATTTCCCTCATAATGCTAATCGGAGTCAAACATGACCTGGGTTAGTTAATGAGTTGACAACACACACGCGGCTGGGTGCTACAATCAGGAATGTCAGAATATAGACACACATATTATCAGGAGTGAATAATAGTAAATAATAGTAATAATCTATTTTATTCACTCTTGATATTATGATATAATGTGGTGATATTTACGCATATGATATATGATATATGTGACGAAAATTATGATATAATAATATATATCATAGTTTATATTATATATATATTATATATAATATATTCATATATTTATATTATATATTTAGTTTATATATATTATGACACTCCTGATATTATGATAAAATGTGATGAAATTTACGCATGTGATCTACGATATATGTGACGATATAATTATACATATCACAATTTAGTCTATATTATGACACTCCCGATACTATCAGGAGCAATCGAAAGCAAGCGAGTGATCACGTGCGTCACGTGTATAGAAGACATGGCGGTGCGCCTACCTGACTCTCTCTTCTCGCACTCCAGCGCGCAGGTGTTCAGGTACGTGCGTCCGTCGGTGCCGCACACGTGGTGCACCCATTTCGGGCAAGTACACGGCTCGGGCGTGGTCCGTGAGCCACACTCACCCTCGTAATCAACGATCAGCCCTGTGTGGGGAGAACAGTTGTCTTTATATAAGAATGTGATACACCACACGCACGCACGCGCGCGCGCGCACACACACACATGCACACACACACACACACACACACTGCACACACACACACACACACACACACACACACACACACACACACACACACACACACACACACACA